CACTTGATTGTTAGAATAATCTAATGAGAATTTGATAATATTTACCTAAATCTGAATCAAAACATATTTTAGGTCTGGTAGGAGATCCCTTAGATGAAGGAGAATGAGCTACATTAGGACTGCCTGGAACATCACTGCTGTTCTCATTCACTGAATGCCGTCTGTGTTTCTTTTTTTCTTTCTTYTTYCTATGTCTTTTATTACGATGATCATCTTTCTTTTCTGACTTTGTTTCTTCTTTTGAAACATTGAGGCTGGTGGTCTCTTTACTACTTTCTGGACCTGATCACCACATACAAGAAATAAATCAATAAGAAAACAAATATTCATTTGTTAAGCATAAAAATACTAATACCAGGGCCAAATTAGTATTAGCTCATTCATACCTGGTTTCTGGCTCGACACTGCTGGTCAAAATGACTGGCAAGGAAAAGATTTGACCAGACAAGTTTCAATTCTGGGTGGACATTATCTGATGTCCAGCCATTATTTTAAGTCCTGTAATACTTACCTAGTAGTAAACTGTGATGATAATCAATGATAATGGTGATGATGTTGATGATGCATGATAATGAAGAGATGAACCATGAATGTGGATTGATAAACATTTTTTGTTTTTACTGGACTACAAAACAACTCGTAAAAGATTTTAATTCATATGTGAAATGGAACCGTTCTAAATTCCCAAACTTTAAGAAAAATTCTACCGTTATGAGGTAATTTGATCAACATCTAAATTATTGTATGAATTTCCAAAAAAATTTAAAATAGTTAGGAAATCTTTCAGCTAGGTTTTTTGATAAGCTTCTAATATTGTATTTAAGGTACTAACCAGAAGAACTTTTAGTCTCTGATAAGTCATCTTTYTCCTTGCCATCTGAATCCTTTTGTTCTTTTTCCCTCTCTTCTCTAGTACATTCAGATCCATTYTGATTCTCTGAGCTGCTACTTCCCTTAGAATAAGGAGCCACAACAGGACTCTTATGCTCCACATGCTCATCAAGTAGTCTTTGGATATTTTCTGCTCCTAATTCTTTTTCSTTTTCCAATTTAATCTTCTTTGAAGCTGGTTCCATGTCATTATCTGAGGTTGAATGCTCAGGACAGTCAGACTCAGAGGAAGAACTGTAATTGGTAAGGCCATTAGGAAGCTTAGCCCATGTTTTGTTGGTMGGAAAATTCAAAGAATCTTGTTCATTAGAATTTTCAAAATTAATAGAATCTAGCTTGTTACTAGGAGAGCTTCCTAAACAATCCTGGTYTTTACTTTCTAATTTGATCTCATTTTCATTCTTGATGTGGGATTCWGAAGATTCTTTAAAACTTTCTGTGCTATCTGTTGATCCTTTATCTGATGGTCCAGCCAAAGGRGTTTCATTTGTTTTTTCTAGATTCTGTTTTTCTGTAGGTTAAAATAAAAGGGACAAGACAGTGTAAATTAAATATTAAATCCAAACTGCTGGTACTAGGTTACTGGGTGTCAAAAAAAACAAGCAGAACAATCACATTGAAGAAGTGGAATCCACTTAGAAGTGAATAAATATATCAAAATTCAGGAAACAATTTGAGTCTACAAAAAATATTTTGAACTAATATTATTTTTAGATACAAAAACAAACCTGTTGGTGGCTCAAGAGTTTCAGRTTTTTGTCTTCTTCTACCAGGAGGACTCTTAACAGCTAAAATAACAGAAAAATCATTCTTGTAAGTCTAAACAATTTTATTAATACTAAAATTAAATAATGGGGTATAGTAGTGGCATTTCTATAGAGTAGCTCTTCGTCCCCTGAAATTTAAATTGGAATTTAGAAGTTGATTTTTATGGAAGAGGAAAACAGGAATTTAGAAGAAAAACTCTAAAAGCACAGGAGAGAATCAAAACACAACCCTACCCACATACAATACCATGTCCAAGAATTGAACCCTGGTTGCATTGGTGAGAGGTGGGCACTCTCACTGCTATACAACTCAAGGTTTCCACATACTGCAACCCRATTAGCTCAGTTGGTAAGAGCATCGGTCTGTTGTGCGGGAGGTTGTGGTTCAAGCCTCGGTCAGACCAACACTAAGGGTCTTAAAATAATTGAGGAAAAGGTGCTGCCTTTGTAATTATATCTGCAAATTGTTAGACCTTCAAGTCTTCTCGGACAAGGACTTAAAACCGTAGGCCCCGTCTGTCTTCACTATATAACCCTGTACAAGGCGGACATAAAAGATCCACTGAARACGCTGGTGACGACCATCTTCAGTGCCTGTGCTAAAACTCTACAGGGCCCACTGTAATTRGCATAAAAGCTAGTGTGGTTTCCCTGCCTTCATGGGGAAAAGCTAATAAATTAAAAATTATACCTTCTTCTAAACCATTAGATAGTGAACTTCTTTCTGAACGTGTTCTTCTACTGGGAGTACTGGCCTTGGCTACTGATTTACTAGAGTTCGTAGTTGATAATGATGATGCTGGTGATGACAGAGATGAATCTATCTGTGGTGGGGATGGTGAGTTCCTGGGTGAATTCTTTGATCCATTACCTTGATTTGTCTTGGAGTCACTTGCTTTGTTGCTGGAGCTGGAAGGTGGTGGGCTCTTTGTACCCCTTTTGCTTAGTGATCGTATATATTGTTTGCCAAGCGGTCTGGGTGGTATTTTGGATCTGGGTATTTCTTTTGCTGTACCTCCTTTCTTTTTTGATAGCTTATTGCTCTTGCAATGAATTCTATCAGGGCTTATCCATTCATCATACCTTAAAAAATACAAAATTGTGAATTAAAATCCAAACCAATCAAGTATTTTATTATTTACTGAATGATGCTGTCAATATTTGCTAAATGACAACTACTACTACTACTAATAATAACAATAATAATGACAATAGTCTCTTTTAATATACCTCAAAACAAACATTGAAGCTTACAATAAACATTAAGCTTAACTACCAAACTAAAGCTAATTTAAATAACTATGAAAAAACTTGTTTTAATAGACCTATCCCAAATTCACTTGACTGGTCACAAAACAATGGTTTCAAGTGGAGGTTGAAGTTGATGAATAAAATAATCAAGTTCAGTCTTGACTTCAAGGCAGTCAAGCGAATTCGGGATAGGTCTGTTGATACTTAGGTAGATAGAAAACTTATTCAATGGTTTGGGTGACAACACTTTTTTACTTCAAACATACCTAATATTCCAACCAGCATAATGGATTAAATACAGTAGACCTTCCTCAGCATCAGGATCAACTGTTATAATCTGGAAAAAAAGATGAAAACGTGAATTAAATTCAAGGAGTTTTCAAGGAGTTTAAGGAGTAGCACGAACCCTGCGGACAGGTCCCAGTTCTGGCCAGACATTGTTGGATCCTTATTTTAAGCCTTGGCAACAAGTTTATCAAGCACTGTTTGCTGCACACTCTAAATAATAGTCAAATGAATGTTTTATAAGAGGATAGATTTAGGGCCTACCTTTGCTTCATATAATCTTCTATTCCTTCCTCTACCATACTTGACTTGAATCTTATCCCCAACAAYGCAATCAATAAACTCTTCTGTACCAGCATCTGATCGTGTGTCTGATTTAGACTCACTGGTATCTGACATACTCCCAGGGCTATTAACRACATCTACAGCAAGTTCCGACTCAGGGGATGTCACCTGCTCATCAACATCAATATCAGATTCAATACTGTCTTGACGTTTCAGATTCTTTTGCCCATTTTCTTGCTCTTCTGTTTTCACCTCAGGTTTGGCTACCTCACCGTTTTCATTTTCCACTTTTATTTCTATCTTCACATTATCTTCTGGTTTTTCTTTAATTGTTTCAGGTGTTGAAGGTTTATTAGTAATGCTCCGCTTGGAGAGTGTTGATTTTGCTGATGTTTTCCCAGTAGGAGTGGTGGCTTGTTTATTMGGTGTTGTCGTTGATAAATTTGACAAAGGCCACTTAATAGGTACAGGTAGTTTGGTTGATGGTTTGTTTGAGGTACTAACTGGTTCAGCTAGTTTGGCAACTGGTTTGCTAACTGGTTTGCTAACTGGTTTGCTAACTGGTTTGCTAACTGGTTTGCTAACTGGTTTGCTAACTGGTTTGTTAGGAGTAGAAGACCTTCTGGGTTTATTCAGTGCTGGCTTATTAGGGGTACTGGCTTTTTCCTCAACCTTTTCTGCACTTCCAGTCCTAGCTCGTTTATCTGTAGAAGTCTTCTCTACCTTTTCTATCGYTCCTTGTCTAGTTGAGGTTTTAGAATTTCTCTCAAGTCTTGTTCTTCCATTTTTTGAAGTTGATGTATCTGATTTTTCTTCATCGCTGTCTTTTCCAGACCCCCCAGTGCTTCCACTGGTTTCATGTACTTCAAATGATTGAAGATATCTGYGAAGAAAAACATGAAAAACATCAAAATTTGTAAACTTGAAAGTTTCATGTATCAAAGATCCACAACCCTGATCAAAAGTGATATTCTCAAAGAATGATCTTTATATGAAATCAGCGGGAGGTAGAATATGAAGTGGGATGAAATATTTTTTGAGGTCTTACATTGCTCTTGGTTACATTGCTCTGATTTTGAGTTAGCTTCTGGACCATTWATCTCAAACTGGAAGTTTCAACTTYGCATGCYGAAATCACAGGCTAGCCATTGTTTGGGTTACATCTGGCTTTTAGCTATTCAAATTGCGTCAAACAGTGGTCATAATTTTTAGACCTTTCTTAGCATTTAATATTCTAGTTTAACTATTTAGGCTCTTGGTACAGGATTGAGATCTTACTTTTTGTATGCCATCTTAATATGGTGTGAGGCACTGGGTGGCATGATCGCAATCCCCATCTTRGAGTATATATTCCTCCACTGCTGTTGCTTAGTTACCTAGAGATTAAAAAATGAAAGGTTTGAAAATGGGTACCCTTTAGAGCACAGTGAAATAATATCCATCAATAATATAGTTTARTTATTATTTTTCCACTAATATACGATCTGTTCTATAGCTCAAATACAAGGGCTGCAATACATTACCTCTTCCATGCCTCCTGCTTCCATAACCAGAGAATATAGTTTGTGTAAGTCAAGATCTTGGTTTCCAAGAATGGGGTGACGTACAATTGGTGTGCCTGAACAAAAAAGAAAAACCAATAAAACAACATTTCCCATTCAGTCCTTTTCGAAAAAAGAGAGTAAAATATTTTAGATTTCCAGGAGAATATAGCATGGATAAAGATAATAAAGATTAATACTTTATTGCATTTTTCAAGGCTTACCATTCTCTTCCATAAAGTTTTGCAGTTTTTCTGTAAAAGCATCCCTTTCTGCATCTTCATCAGTCTCATCATCAGATGATGCAGCCTTGGTTGGTTTTGATGATGATCTCCTACTATCATCATCGTTGTCATCATGAGTAACAACTTCAGATTTATTCCCTTCCCATATCGATGGAATGCGCCCAGTTTCTATATAAGCAATAGCACGTTCTATTGCTATGAAGAARAATGAAAGAAATCATTTCATAACAATATTTTTATTTCATCGAATAAGAACAAACCAATGTTACACAGACACACACTCTTCTATACTTGCGGTGGTGATAACAAGTCCTWTGTTTCCTCTTACCTGGTTTGTTTGCTCTATTATCTGTTTTTAGAGAACTGCTAACAGGATCCTGGTCCTTTGAAAATTCTTTGGTATCTCTGACATTTACAACATGACTAAAATAAAACAAAAAKAWAARAMAAARARA